AATGGCATATAAGTTAATCATATTTTCTTTATCAATGGTTTAATCCCTCGATTATAATGATAATCAAATGTGGATATAATTAATACATTACTTTTCATATAGTCTACAATTTAAAACAATAAAATTTAATTGTACTAAATTATTCAAAAGCATTAATATTATGTGTAAGATGGTTTGGCTACTTTAAGACCGATATAACATGTTTTTTCAACAAGTATTGAAAACATTGTAAATAATTATATACTGTTTATAGTATATGTATATGTTCAGAATCATGTATATTTAACGCAAAATTACCAATCAAAATATCTAGTGATTAGAAATATCTAAATTGCAATCCAATTTTTTTTGAATTGCAATTCAAAAAGTAATTTAAAAATTTGCAAACGAAAGCCCTCTTTATTCGTTATAAATCATTATAATGCAAATATAAATTAAAATTAAGCTTTAAAAATGTAGGTTTGAAAAATAAATAATAGTTAATTTGAAATTTTGCATGAAATACACTGCAATAATAGCTAGAAACAAGTTTACCACAAATTTGCCATTTATAATGTAAAATGCAATGATTGCACACATCATGTGTTATATAATAAGCAGATTCTGTGAAATGGTTACAGAATTTCCCGGAATCTCAAAGCAAAGAATGCGTGGAATTTGTGAGCGAATGTGTGGCCAATGGATGGCATCGCAAGCGTTGGCACAGCATTACAACTGTCAGTGAATGCCAGCCAATGATCAATAAAAGTCACATCATTTGCCTCATAGACACACAACACGTCAACGGTTTGGGGGACACCGACCTCACGGCCCCCTTCCCTCTCCCCTATGGCAACAGCGATGCCGTCCGGAGCCGCGCATCCACACAATGCACACACAAAACATTACACATACCATAAAAAGTAGTCAATCGGTAGTTAACCGACGGTAACCGATAGGACACAACACCGGCCAACCGGTGGACACACCGGGAGGCTATTGGGGGGTCTGTGTGTTTGGCGGCACAGGTATGCGCTGCCAGTGCTGTGAATGCTGTGGCGTTTAGGCGGACGTACTATCTGTAGCGGAAAGCCATTAGCCATAGTGTACGCCATGTTTTGCCAGTTTTTGGTGTTTGAGAGTTGTTTGACTCAAATGTCTGTCTCTATTGAGTGAATAGTGAGAGATAGAGATATATAGAGAGAGAGTGAGTGTTAGGACACCATTGAATGCCACCACTCATGAGCCCATTATCATCGCTACCCCCGTCTCCATCATCACCGCTAAGACCCACTCGACGACAAGCAGTATCTATCGGCCGGTCATGTCTGTGAGCCCCGGGACATGACTCACCCAAACGTGACCAACGGTTCCAGCCTTGAAGACTGTCACACAAACTTCTTCGCTTTGGTCTGTATTTTGTTTGTCCGCTGTTTTGTCTCTCACTTCCTCTGTGTTGTCCTTTTCGGTGGTCACCACTTGTGTCCACACGATTGTCGTCCTGTGTTTGTGTCCACACAATGTGTTTTTCTTAATACCCAAAACGAGTGCCACTTTTTTTTCTGTCTCTCAAAATGCCCACAAATAACCTCATTGTCTGTAACTGTCAGTCATTGCCCGGATGTGGTGTCTGTCTGTCTTAAGACGCCTCTGAGTCGATGATAATGGACACAAATGCGGGCCATCACTTGATCCCGAGATGTGATTCTTTTGTGTGTTGTTTGTGTGAATTGAGTGCTGTTTTAATGTCAAAAATGTCACTCAATTGTCATGTTTTTTGGCACTAATTGTTTGGTTTCGCGATTCAAATATCGCTTTTTTGTTATTTTCGCCACAAATTAGTGTCTGATTTATATATTTATTAGACATTTAATACACGTTTAGATATCGATTACTAATGTTATGTTTAATTATGAAAACAAATAAATGTTTAGTTTTATTATTATTATTATAATTGTATTGTGAGATCTCTTTTAAGTAGTAGTTGTGTTGTAATTGATATGATATTTGATTTATAGCCACATATGAGAAATACTAGTCTTTTTATTCATTAGCTATTGTTTTATTATTTGATAATTAATTTCTTAATTTTGCCATTAATTTAGATTAATTGTCGCAATAGTTATGAGATAAATATATATTTATAGTAATTATTACAATGTATTTGATTTATAACTGAGAAAAAAGGTCACCAATTGTTTTGTGTATTGTGTCTATCATTTGTGGCACAAATTTAATTGTCATATAATTTTATTTTGCGAGAGATTTTGTTATGTAATTAATTAATCAAAACATAAACTAATGATTTTTATTTGATTGTGATATTGAAGGCCGACTTGTGTGGTATCAAATGGCGACGACTGACATGTGAGAGTTCGTGCTCCGAGCCATTGGAGGACCCGGTGCTCAGCTCTTATAGCAAATGCTTGGCCGCCGATCAGCTGTGCGTTTGGCGTCGGGTGAAGAGCCAGTCGGACAACGGTCTAAACGGCGGCTCGAAGTTTGGCGCCGACAACAACAACCAGAACGCGTTCGCCAAAGAGCTCTGGGTTTTCTGGTACGGCGAAGAACCCGATTTCAACGATCTGGTCAACAGTGAACTGTCAGGTACGGCACCCCATCTGTACCACCCGTCCCCTCCTCTCCTGTGCCACCGATTATCTCATTAATAGCTCTGCGCTTATATTGCGTTTAATTTCTCGTTTGTTTTGTTTGTTTGACTCGTTTTATACATACATTTTGGATGTAATTATTATTATACGAGAGAAAAATATTTATGATTTTTTACTCCAAAATGACCTCAATTTAAATGAACTACTTTTGCGAAACACTGTTTTTTAAAATACAGATTTGTTTATCTGTTTAGCCGTTAGGCAAGTATTATAACCACTTATTCCTCCACTTCTCTCACTTATCAAAGTTTTCATTTATATTCAATTCAAATGCCAATTGATTCTGTCATTTAACGCAAGAATTGTTTGTCTTTTACTCATTGTTTTTATCATTTATTTTGAGGGATAATAACATTTTGTTTGTCTCTGTTTTTTGTTTTGCGGAAAACATTTTTATTTCCAATCGATAATTAGTGATAAAAGTGTTGAGATATTCTGATATATAGTGTACGTGAATATTGCTTATAATTGTTATTGAATGAGAGAGAGAGAGAGAGAGAGAGAGAGTATTTAACAGAATGCATATAAAATGTTTATACGAAACCCAATACTAAATGACAATTAGATTGAGTACTGAGTTATGTGGGGTTTGACTGTGAAATGGTAGGGAAAACAGTGGAAAAATGATTTGTAATTTTCTTGTGGTAAACGGCGTCCACATATAGTCCACATAATAAGCAAAACATGTTTGGCTTTTAATTGTGAAGTTATGGACCGGCCTTGAAGTGCATATGCAATGGTGTTTCTCCCTCTCGTGAGCGCAGTTGTCTCCCATCGGAGTCCACTCTTCTTGTAACCTATGCTTTGAGATCACATTTTTTCAAATAATATACACTTAAACGCATGGAATATCTCTGTCTCCACTCCTCTCCCTCTCTGCCCATACATACATATGAGTGGAATTGTTAACCAAAACCATACGCCAAATGTTTGCGAGAGTGAAATATTTACGTTAAATATAGCGGTGTTTTGCCAAAAAAGTTCATTGATTGCCAATGCATTCGCCACTTGTGGGGGCTATAGTGAGACACCACTGTCTGTTGCACTCAAACACATGTAACTTTATTTTATTGTCTCTCAACTGAAACATATACATTGAATCCATTCTCTCTCTCTCTCTCTCGTACACAACATATTCAAAAAGTATATACATTTACATCGAAAATATTAATTTAATATTTAAAATTCAAATTCAATAAAAAAAAATGTAATGTCAAACGTTTGACATATATTAGGGATTAACATATCTATAAATATTAAAACTTTAAAAATATTTTTAAAACTAATACAACGAGAATTTAGACATGAAATTATTGTATAATAAATATTCCCTACCATTTCACAGTCAAACCCCACATAACTCAGTACTCAATCTAATTGTCATTTAGTATTGGGTTTCGTATAAACATTTCGTATGCATTCTGTTAAATACTCTCTCTCTCTCTCTCTCTTACTCACTCACTTTTTCTGCAATCAATTTGTTTGGAAACTTATGAAACTTTTTGTTGCCTTAAATCTACGGGATTTTAGAATTTGTTTTAGAATTGTCTGAGCGCTAGATTATGGCCTCTAATAATAAATTAGTGTTTATTTCTTGAGGTTTTATTTTAGTTATTTTTTAGTTACTTTTTCCTCGTTTTCACTGCAAAACTGAATGTGTTTTTTGTTTTTAAAATCAAAATAAGAATATGTTTTTGCAAATGCTATGAATATATTTGTTTGTAACTAGTATTCCTTTGAGAGGCCTTGAATTGAATTGAATGGCATTAATGTGTTAACTATTCAATGATTACTATGTTTTTAAGCGTTAATTTATGAGATATTAATATACAGTATTATAGATCTTTCAATCGTTTTATTATTATTTATTATTAGATTTAAATACAAATGTTTTTCAAATACATTGTACATTGAATTGTATATAAATAGCAAATTCATTATGAATTGATTTAATAGGCAAACGATTTGAATGGAGGAGAAAGTGTCGGTGCAATGAACTAATGATACCATTTGTTACAAATCTTTGTCTTTAACCAGTTTTTGAGAGCTTTTTCTTAATAATGATTACTTGTATTAATACTGTATGGCTCTCGATATGGATAGTGTGGGCCACCAATCGTTTGATTTGAAAAATAATTATAAAACGTTTGCAACGAATGAAATATTTTTGCTTTTACTAAAACTTTTAGTATTGAAATTATTTTCGTTTAATTCAAATAATGACCGCTTTTTATAGTAAATTCGTCGGACATATAGTATAGTTTCCGTCCAATGTTATAGTGATTTACTTTGACATTAATATCAATACTTAAGACTGAATTTATTATACAATAATTTCATGTCTAAATTCTCGTTGTATTAGTTTTAAAAATATTTTTAAAGTTTTAATATTTATAGATATGTTAATCCCTAATATATGTCAAACGTTTGACATTACATTTTTTT